GTCATTCTTTTACATTCTGAAGAGTTTCAAAGGCCTCAACACGTCTGATATTTACACATTGTACATAAGGCATACCTATGACTTCAAGCTGCTAAGGTGTACATGTATATAGACAAAAGCAACAGTTCACAGAATATTTCTTTCATGATATTTCTACACCTAGATAATGATTGACATTTCTTGTTTAGCATGCATTAGAATGGAAATAACAATATTCCATGCAAGGTAAAGCTCAACAAACAGTACAGTGATATTGCAAAGGACTTTGAGCACCTTTTCAACTACACAAATGGTAGTACCATGCGTGGTTGGCAAAGTAGACTAGACGCATATATTGTTTATATACAATAAATAGGTTTAACAACGAGTTAGAATTGGATATCGCTTGCTAACAACATTTTACATCTGATTTCTATAATAAAATTAAAGGCATTTCGATATGAAGCGATATATAATTTACTCTCGTTATGAAAATAATACAGTAAATTCAGAAATTATTGCGAGGATTTTATTAATGCGACAATTGCGACTAGACGAGTATCGCAATAATAAGAAACTGAAACATAGATTTGTATGCAGATTTTTAAAAAATGTCACAACAATTAAAAAATCGCAGTTTTGTGCATTCTTGCAAAATCGCAATAATAAATGCACGCAATAATTTCTAAAATACTAGTAATCAGCACGTGCCTAATGATAGTCACTATTGTTGGTTTCATGGTAGTTCTGAATGAAGACTTGTATAGCGGTCATACTGGGTAGCAAAGACGAAGGAATGATTAAAGTCATTGTTTTACTCCTGAATCCATAATGTGCTTATAATGCTATAGAAAAGAAGCTGAAACAAGACCTATATTATTGAGATCTTATCTGTATTTTGAGCATATAAGTAACGGCATACCCTTCAGTTTGAGAGTTTTCGTTCTTATAACGTCATGCTTTGGCATGACGTTAATACACTAATTTCATTCATGGAATTTCGCGAAATTTTCTGTTACTATAATTTTATAAATTTTCTAAGATTTGATGAATAACTCTTTTTGTTATGCATTACATTATAGAATTAACAGTTTTGTATTTTTTCAATTTCAATTTTCACACAGCGAAATCGACAAGGTGTTTGAACATAAGTTACAATACATTTGAATTTACATATAAGGTAAATTGTAACAGATGGAGCTATATGTACATCCATGCATGGGTCTTAATATAGATATATCTAGAATTGCTTCAGGTTGTTGTTTACAAAGTGAAAGCCGCACGTCTTAATAACATTTATGTGCTATGTTAGAAGTCGCATTATCACAATAAAAGAAACGAGGATTGAATTGTCACAAAATGTATTCCTAAGCGGTCAATCAAGTCATTATACTTTCAGTAAAACGTTCGAATGGATGACTTCAACTTTGCCATTAGAAAACCAGAACTCATTTGACAATTGACAATACTTACATTATAATGTAAAATCAGATAAAGTGCTACCAAGAATATCCATTTTTTAACGCTTATTTGTGAAACATATAGTACCATATCTCATTCCCTTAATGTTAACATGATTATAACATAATCAAAATAAGACAAGTCAATGTATATGTTTTGGAAGACAGGAACAAGTTGAAATAATTGTAAAAACTTTTTCATCAAAATCGAAAAAAAAATATTATTGGACTATCAAGCTTAGATGCCCCTCTTATAACATTTTTTTTACCATTCAGTATTCCTATATTTGAAGATAGGTCTTCCGATCTGCACTAACAATTAAATTTTAGTCTTAAACGGTCATTTTGATGTTAAGCTCATCTGAAAAGTCTGAACAATAGATTCATAAGTCATTTTCTGTCTTTCAGTCAATTTCCAGACCTATCCACAGCGGTAAATTATAGTTCTTTTCAGACAAATCGCTTGCAGTCAATTCAGTACTGTTCGTAGATTTTTTCGACAATTGGTAAGATATTGAAATGTACAGCTGAATAACAGTTACCTGATTCACTGCAAGCAAATTGTCTGAATTTTGTATAGACTTTAATGCATATGAGAAATGTTATGAGTGTCTGAACGACTAAAGATCAAACTAACCATTTTAGGGCAATTTGGCTTACTAGTGATTGCCAGTGAGGTTTCTTGTAAATAATTAATAAACAAAAAAGAAAAAAAAACGTATAAATGAGATAGCATTTGATAACGATTTAGTGCGTTTCCTATTGTTGCATGAACAATAAACTCATCATAGATACCAGGATTGAAATTTTGTATTTGCGCCAGACGCGCGTTTCGTCTACAAAAGACTCATCAGTGACGCTCGAATTAAAAACAGTTAAAAAAGCCAAATAAAGTACGAAGTTGAAGAGCATTGAGGACCAAAAATTCCTAAAAGTTTTGCCAAACACAGCTAAGGTAATCTATTTCTGACGTAGAAAAGCCTTAGTATTTCAAAATTTCAAAGTTTTGTAAACAGTTAATTTATAATTATGACCATATTAATGATAATTCATGTCAACACAGAAGTGCTGAATGCACACTTTCATATAGAATCGTTTAGTCTTTGTAATTTTGTGTTTTACCATTACCAGATCGAACGAACAATATGAAATAAAAATCAAATAGACTGAACAAAAAGCTTCACGTGACGATTAATGGGTAAAATAAAATGAAAAGATGCATAATGTTTCTCTGATTGTCGCTAACCGTACCTCAAACCAAACCCTTTGGATGAAAGAAGAAAAAATATTGAGTTTCATGTTGTTGCATGAACAATGCATATTTTAACATTAAATCGTATAGTCTTTGTACTTTGTATTATCAGAGTCCCGCCAACGAAGGTGTTTTTTGTTTTAAAATTTTATTTGACATCACCCTTTGTGGGAAAAAAAAATTTTGGGAAATGAAAATTCGGGTGTTGTACTAACGTTTGAAAATTGTTATTTTTCCTACAAAATGCAGAACTTTGCAATTAATAGTAATGTGCTCAAAATGATTTGTTTTCAAGAGAAATAGATTAGCCGTACTATCAGCAGGTATAAAATCCTTCCTCCCACGGAAAATCAACTGGTAGTTCCATATGGTTAATTAAATTTATACTTGTTTGTAGGTTAACAATTTTTTTAGTTTTTGTGATCAAAATACGTAAATAACTTTCATAATATTATCATAATTACAGTTCTTAGGTCTTTCGACCTGTGAAAAAAAAAAAAACAAAAAAAAACTATTGATTTTGTTGTGCTTATATGTTTTTCTTCTGTTGCAAAATGAGATAAAAGATACGTTTGGTCTAAAACAATCCAATGACATAGGAGTGAAATGTCATAAGTTCAATCTAAGGTTAATTGATAATTACTTCAATATTATATATGATAAAGTCAATTGGTTTTTTTGGAAAATATTGGATCACATATGAACTTGCGGTATAAACTGTCCGTTCCTAGATTTAGATATTTCAGTTTTACACGGGAAACTCCACACTAGAATTTACGACAAAAGAGACAATTTTTCGTTCCGTATTGTTTATTTTCCTTAATGGACGGTGATGTTTCTTTGGCACCATATTACAGTGTTTATATATCACAACTCGGTCGCTATAGCGTGTCTGTTCGTTGCCACAAATATCTTAAAACCTTAAATTCTTCAATAGATATAAAGATTTGGTTTTGAAGTTTGGTTGTACGTGTAGAAAACTTATTTCAAACGAGAGAGCACATCCTCATTTATACGGAGATGTTGTTTACCGTGCACGGAAATTCAAAAACGATCTTGGTAAACTTATCGATCCTTTAAATAAACTTATTCTAAAAGGTTACCAATTCAACACTGTCATTAGATCTTTGAATATTGTTTTTATTGGTATTAATATTGATTTTGTATCAGTAAATTAAAAGCAAATCAAATATTATTGTTATATACATATGCACATTCATGGCTCTACAATCTGTCGATACCTGTATCTTGGTATTGCACAAGGTCATGTTTTTCTCTGACTGTTTATGACGTCTTTACACTAAATCCATTGGATGTTGGATGTGTACTGATTGATAATTTAGTCTTTGATGCATGTTTTTTTTTATTAGGCTGTTAGGATGTACAAGTACCTGGCCACGTCCACTCTGTGTTTTTGTTAGATGTATTTTTATTTGTATCCATCTGATGTGTTAAGCCTTTTTCAACTGATTTTTATAGTTTGGTCTTATGTTGTACTGTTTCACCACTGTCCCAGGTTAGGGGGACGGTTGGACGCCCGCTAACATGTTTAACCCTGCCACATTCTGTATGTCTGTGTCTGTTCCAAGTCCAGTGGTTGTCGTTTATTGCTATGTTACATATTTGTTTTTTGTTAATAAATTAGGCCGTTAGTTTTCTCGTTTGAATTGTTTTACATAGCTTTAATAGCTGACTATACGGTATGGGCTTTGCTCAATGTTGAAGGCCGTACAATGACCTATTGTTGTTTATTTCTGTATCATTTGGTCTCTTGTGAAGAGTTGTCTCATTGACAATCATACCACATCTTCTTTTTTATATTGAAAAATGTTAACCAGAAGTGACTTTGAGTAAACCGGAGGTAGCCAATTTTACAATTTTTTAGTACCCGGAAACCATATATGTTTTTAGTTGGCATCCATAAACCGAGAAATTGAGACCAGAAGTGGCCTTTTAAAATCGTAAATAGCTAATTATCTCCCTTATTTCAGGCGAGTTATATAAAAACGATTTGTTTTGGAATCAGTGTAAATACAGTTATCAAATTTGACCGGAACTATAATTTGAATGTTCATTTTTAAATTATAAATATACCGGATATTTTTTTTATGTGGAAGAAGCTAAATTGATTACTGTAAATGAACAACTTAGATCATTCAGAAAATAATAGTCTACGAATTATCGGAGTAACCTGCTATATCCAATCAAATGACTTGAAGAATCCAACCGGTAACATACATTTGACAAATAATACTTACCGTAAAATCATTGATTTTATCACAAATGAACACTTTTTTGAATAATTCTTTTATTTGGCCTGACTTTGTGTTATATGTTATTATAGCATTAGACAGAAACCACTTATAACGTCTTTATGACTAACAATTATTAAATTGTCCACTTAATAGCTTTCGTCGTGTATCAGACTTAATATTCTGCCATCTCTGATTCCACAGGCAACTATTTGTTCGGTATGTTACTCCATATCTGTTCTTAGTAACAGTTCCTGAAATATGAACACATTATGCAATTATACATTTATGTTACTTGTTCCGCCGTGTTTTTCTTATGTTTGATAAATACACACCTCAATTCGTTTAAAATCGCTCTCCTAACTCCGATCAAGATTATCTTTCTTGTTACAATTGTTCTGTATTTTTATATGTTAAGCATATTGTTAAACCTGAAACAAATGCTTGGCAACAACCTCTGTAACATGTTCCGGAGCCATTCGTGATTACAATATAAAATAAGGAGATGTGGTATGATGTTCAATAAGACAACTAGCCATAGATTAAAATGACGCACATTTGAGCAGCTATAGGTCACCGAAGGTCATTAACATAGATCAAAACCAATAACGAATAGTAAGCTGTTAAAGACCTCGACATGAACAAATGTTAAACAATTCAAAGAGAAAAATCATGGGTCTTATTTATGACAATCAATTTGCAAAAAATAAATATGATCGAGATAAAGCAACCAAAGACAACCTCTAACTTGCAATAGGCTCCTGACTTGGATATAGAATGTGATAGGGTTAAACAAGATTATAAGCGCCCAAGTCACCCCTTACACTTTGTAACAGCACAGCCAATATGAATAACTGTAAAAATCAGTTGGAAATGACTGGACTCGTCAGATAAGCATGAAGCACACACATCAACTCATATACAACAACTAATTGATTGATCATTGATCGTATACTCTGCTTGCTTTATGTATCGACTAATATCTTTTTAGTATATATAAAGAGTTCATACATCCTTTTGTGAACCCTCCCCCTTATTGGCCCCGTCATCATTGCAGTAAGTCTTTGGTTCTACCTTCATTTTAGTATTAAATGATTTTACATGCTTTCAATTTAGAAATTAAGTAATGAAACACTTTAATTTAATATACACACTTGACATTTATATCGTGACATTGCACATGATATTGGTCCCCCAGTCCCCGAAAGTTGGTTGGGTAATAGAAATATAGTCACTCTTCGTTTTCTTTCGACCTGGCTGTAAAACCCTTGCCAAAGTGGGGCGTCTGTTTGGTTCTGCGGGATGTAAAACATGTACAAGTACGCAGCCACGTCCGTTCAGAATGGAGACGTTTAATCCCCCTACTCAGTAAATAGAGTTTATTGTTTAGGCATAAATCAGGCCGTTTGGCTTTTTGTTTAAACTGTTATACATTTTGTCATGCTTTTTGTGATTATTGTTGTGATCTAAGACATGGAGAAGGAAAATACTTGATACAAACCTAACGAAAATAGATAAATGAATTGTCCAGGCTATGTGAAATAACTGTTGTCCTTAAAACACAAGAAAAACTGTACCATATGTGTAGGTTATTGTCTCATCTTACAACGACGCGACAGTCAAACTAGTTACCCACATTACTGAGCTATTCTATGATGATTAACGATTTTGTAATGTTGATGAGGTTCATATATAAGATGAGAGTCATGACCTTTATTTTCGATATTGTCATAGTTTTCATAGTTTACACTGTATAAATATCAACAACATAGCACAGGTCCATTACCTATATAAATATAGAAATAAGAAGATGTGGTATGATGCCAATGAGACAACTCTCCACAAGAGACAAAATGACACAGAAAATAACAACGATAGGTCATCGTACGGTGTTCAACAATGTTTAAAACCCAGACCGCATTTTCAGCTATAAAAGGCCCCGAAATGACAAAAACAATTCACACGAGGAAACTAACGGCCTGATTTATGGACAAATTAATGAACGAAAAACAAATATGATATACAACAACAAACGCCAACAAATGAATTACAGGCTTGAGACAGGCACATACAGAATGTGGTGGGTTAAACTAGTTTAAAGGCGCGGCAACCCTAACCTGGGACAGTGGTGTAACAGTACAACATAAAAACAAACTATACAAATCAGTAGAAAAGGGCTTAACTCATCTGATCGAAACAAAACAGATATACATCTAACAGCATGGACGTGACAAGATATTTATACATCCCCACAAAAAAAGACACTAAATACAGATCTTTTAGTACTTGCAGTTACGAAAAGCTAGTTCAAAGCTAATAAAAACTTATAAAAAATCATACAAGCATCCTCACAAATGAAAATTGTATAAGCAAGTGCACAAATAAATATTTGACAATAATCACATCCACTTTAAGGAATTGCTGACTTATTATACTACCGCTATAAGCATTCGGTGAGCAAAATGTTAACGAGAAACATTACATGGAACTCTTAGTCTGATCTGAAGTTCATGTAGAAAATGAGATCAACATGTCATTGGCAGAGTTGGTAAAAAACATATAACCCCCTCCTTAGAGCAGGGATATTATCGAATTACTTACCTGAAATCAAATATTCAACTCCTTTATCTAAATTGACTCCACACGCAGCTGCACTTCTGTAAGCACGAACTTTAAGTGTATTTGGAACCTTGATCTGTAACATAAATAAGATATTAAAAAAGTCGATTTGGTATGCATGTTTTCTTTCAACTTATATACGAATTGTTTCTGATCATCACTGTCTTTGCTATTGATTTATATCTAGAACATTTTAAATTCAACGATATGATAACTACTGTGTGTGTGTCAAGTTAGAGTATTTTGGTATTAGCTAAATATTGCATATTGCTGTCATAGAAATTTGCTGCAATACATTTGACTAAATAAATTGTTGAAAAGCATATATGCAGTAAAGTTGTTTCCGTTGATGTTATATCAGTTTTTGTTGAAGTTGTTTAAAATGAAGTTGAGTTCTTTTCTCATATATTATTAGACCGTTTAGAAGAAAATAGATATCTTAACGGGTTTTAATACAAGAAAAGGGTGGCATGGCACGTATGAATTGCTTGATATCCCAAAAAGGGTGTTTGGAACCCTGCACTCAGCTCAAAATCAACAACTTACATGTAAGAGGCAAAAAAAAAAAAGAAGAGGCGAAGGATACCAAAGGGACGACCAAATAAGTCGAAAATAAACTGACAACGCCAAGGCTAAAAAAGAAAAAGACAAACAGTCAAACAACAGTTCACACAACACAACATAGAAATCGATTAGTTAACCAATGTTAAATAATCAGGAAAACATTTTGATTAAAACACCAAATGTTTTAATTTAAGTTAAGTATACACGTTTTTCTCCCGTAAACAAACACATGTGAGTGTGCGTCTCAATATATTGAGTCTATTGGGGTTTACCAAAAATGTATGTATTAATACACAGAATAAAAAAAAGAGATGTGAAGAGATTTCCAATGAATCAACTATCCACCTGAGTATTATTTGGGTTACTCAGTATGTGACGCAATGCGTAAGTCTTTTAGTATGAGATTATTTTAAATTGGAACTCATTTACAGCGCAGGTTAAAGTTGGGTTTTGACCTAACCCTACTATTTTGAAGTTACTCTCATCCTGAGTTAGAAATGGTAAGTCTTTCGTTTCTGCCTGTCTATTAATTCGAGAAATCTCTAGATAACGATATGATATCAAATTACGGAGTTAGCTCCCCGCAACTGTAAATTTCTTGTGCATTTCAACCAATTTATATCTTGAATTACCAGAAGAGGAAAAGGAAACAAATGTTATATTCGTGCACCATTTTCCAATTTGAACATAAATTAATGTCAACTTGAGTGGGTTTTTGTTTGTCATGTTATCACCACTGCCTGATTCTTAGGCAGATTGGAACTTAATTTCTACTTTATCGAGAAAATGAATAGTATGTACGGTATGTTCTTCAATCACAATATGTTTTTTTATGCGTCCCTGTTAGATTTATTTGTATGTTAGTTTAAAGTTTGTAGTCAGTTGTGTTGTATGTCTTATTGTCGCATTAAACTAGTATGTCTGTTTGGGATGCTCACCTAATTTTGTCAATATAACGGAACTATACACAACTGCCATACAAGTGGGAGGTTTAGCTAGCTATGAAACCAGGTTTTAACCTACCATTTTCTTTTGAAAATGCTTGTACCAAGTCAGGAAAATGGCAGTTGTTTTTTTGTTTGTTCCGTTGATTGATAGCGTTTGATTTTGTCAGTTTTTGTGTATTTTCCTTTTTTGAATTTGAAGTTCGACAGTTTTGTTATACCTTTTCAAATAGGTAAAATAAAATATGTATGAATTGAAAGATGTAGAAACTGATATTTTACAGACGATGTCTTGTGAACATTTTGAGGATATACATTGAATGATTGATAATCATTTTCATTTACAAATTCTTTTAACCAAACAATTGCCTTATAAATCTTCTTCTGCATGGAATATACATTAATTAAAACCCCTCTAATCCAACTGTTAAGAATATTTTAATAATCGTATTATATACTACCTTAAAATTATAATTCACTTCCACTGTGTATTCAATTTGACCTCCTTTGAGATCCCTAGTTCCTGTAACTCTTCCTCGTGAAGCTTTAAAATATAATCATAACTTATTAAATAATGGCGGCCAAAACCTGTATTGTTTGAAAATAGATAAAACTGCATGGAAGTAATTGAAACGGTAACGAATACAAGGCAGCTTAACGGTTTGTTTTTTTTTAAAATAGGATTACCGTTGAATATAGATAAAGCATTGCTTTGCAAATTTTTCTATATTTTTTTCTGTTTAATTTTCATAACAAGAAAGTGGTAACTCAACTAAACATGGAATTTAAGGTAAATTAATTAAAGAACAAAATTGTAATAATTATCATTATCAAGAACGTAATTCAAAATTAGAAAAACAGCACCTGTAGTAAAAACATAAGGACAAATAATATCGAAACTGTATCATTTAATATGATGCACATTATTAATTGGATTAAAGACGGTTTATTATAAAACACACATTTCAACTGCCTTGACATATTATCATAATGTGGTTGTTGCATTTCGTGTTTAGGAAACTCATTGAAACTCATTGATCGATTATGTCAGGAGTGCTTTACCCCCACATGAAGTAAAATACAAATTAAATGCCAAAGGTTTGCCCAATTTTGATATCCGTACGGAAAAGGTGCATATTACATGCTTTGTATTGGAAAGCTACAGTGAGTTTGAGTATCTTTGTAAATGCTAGCTCCAAATTTGATTGATGGTGAAACAGTAAAAATGGATGTATATTTAAAAAAAAACACACTTAAATTATCTTAAATTACCTCGTGCCTCCGAAGCGCTTGCCTGAATTTACTTTCAACAGGAACGCTCAAACCTAGACAATTGAAACTCGGGGAAAGCATGAATACGATGAAACATTAGGATAGTTATGACCATGAGGTACTTAAGCAGAATAACCGAATTAATCTAATGTAAACCTTACTGGTTTGTCCCGAAATAAATAAAAAAAAAAAATACCCCGATATAATAGTTTTCGAGATATCTTCATCCTGTGGTGATGCAGTGTACATGCAGTAAGTATAATGTTTAAGACGACCTTTATATTAGAAATAGACAATTAAGTATTATAGATTTTCCAACTTATTATTTGCACTTAGTGTCCTATAATTTATAGATATGCAATATATGTGAAAAATGAGAGATCTCTTTAATATCTGCAAATAAATACGGATATTACCAAATGTAGCGGTACAGAACCTTTCTTGATCTGTTCCAGGAAGACACGTACATCCATAGGCCTCTGAAATGATATTTATCAGCCCAACACAAACGATGGTCACTATCGTTAGCTTCATGGTTATTCTGAAATAAAGACCAATGTATGTTGTTCGATATATAACTGTCATTTGAAATTATATACGTCTCATAAAACATGTTTTACAAAGACGTAATCAATAACATCAGAAACGTTTGAAAATATAATAAAGACAAAAACGATTATATTTCGGTTAGCAATGATGTTTGTTGTTTACAGTAGACTAGAAGACGATTTTAGTTTTCTGTGATTGACACATGATATATCAACAATGCACAATATATATAATGCAATTGAATTGTAAGTACAAAATATAACCATCTCACCGGCACCGTTACGAAATGGGTAAATTAAAGCGACAGTAGTTCAACGATGTTCAAATTTTGTAAATCAAAGAGGCGAATACAATGAAACAAAAGCAGATGTAAGGTGAGTATATCAAATCCACGAGACAAGAACCAACAAAAACGCTAAAGATTTGAATATCTTATCGACATGGCATAATTTTTATATAAAATTTATGAACAGAAATCAATACTAAAAAGGACACAGATGAAATTTCAAATTTTTTGTCAGATGTGTAATAAATGTTTTTTTTAACAATTTTTTACACATTGCAAATATAAGGAGTTATTCGTTTATGCTTGAAGCATTGCTTTAGAAAATGATGATATAACTGTAGGGACAAGATGAGAATGGGACAAGTTATAATTTTTGGAATTTGAACAGGTTTTAACAGTGAAATACAACTCATATCATACAGGTCATATATTAAAAAAGATGGAAACAAAATTCTGATAAAACAGTGAAACACAACGTTTACCTTACCTTAGGTTATTGAATAGGGAAATGTTTCTTTGTTTGAATTATTTATTCGTTTATATATGCACTTGTGAACCGGATTTTGTAATAATTTCTTTCTATCAATCACTACGAAAACAAACTTTTATGACAGAGGTGTGTTGCTGTGCATCAATTCTTGTCAAAAAAATCTTTTTTTACCGATTTGAAATGTTAAGTTGATGGTTATTTCCCATACAGGTACATCGATATAAGGATGTATATTATACAAAAGACCGATAAACATGTTATTTTTTTTAGAACTTAACATTTCTCAGTTCCAAGCTGACGTTTCTCAGTTTCAATTTGACATTCATTAATACGACAGTACTTTACTCATGCTCAAAACTTGCAAATCCATTTAGAAGAGACAAATCAAGGTAACAAACAAAAACTGAGGGAATCGTTAGAACTCCAAAACGAAGACCTTTTGCGTCAACAGAGTAAGCTTCTCCTACTATCAATTTCTCAGTTTCAAGTTGACGTTTCTAATTTACAAGTTGCCATTTCACAGTTCCAAGTTGACATTTCTCAGTTCAAAGTTGATATTTCTAATTTACAAGTTGACATTTCTCAGTTTGCGGCTGACATTTCTCATATTCAAGTTAATATTTATCAGTTCAAACTTAACATTTTAAAAATTCCAAGTTAGAATTTCCTGTTTTTTTAAGATCTAACTGTCAACTTGATATTAAAAAAACGTAAGAAATGTCAGCTTTGAACTGAAGAATATCAACTAGCGAATTATTCATATTCATTCCGTCCTTGATTAAATCCAGACTGGTTAATTACTGTTGTGTTTGCGTTCTATTTAGTAGTGTATCTCTTGTTATACAGCTTACAAATTCTGACAAAAACTTAATCACTTTTCACTCAAATTATGAAAAAAATCCCAGCTATAGATCGGTGCAGTCCTAACCTGTTCACCAAGTTAACTTGATAACCAGTCATTTTGACAGGACAAAATTAAACCACCGACAGGTTTAGGACTGCTTTGATCGGTCCTAGGACCAAAATCAAGTCAAATTAAAAAGAAGACTTGGTCCTAGGACTGTTTTTATGACTTCCGAAAAAGTTAACTTTAGACAGGTCCGCTGCTGCAGTTAACTTCGAATTCAGTTCTGCAATAAGTTGACCTCGATATTGACTATTAAGCCAGACCTGGTCTAAAGTTAACTTATGGCCGGTCTGCTCATCACTTAGTTTACTTGTGACCAAGACCGCTTTACATCGACTGATAAAATAGTTTGAGTTATCTTTGTTTCTTGATATAAACAACACAGTACGCATATAACTTTGTTTGGAATACAAATTTGTGGGTGATCTTGCTTTAAACAAATTGAAAACGATATTGGTTACCCAGTAAAAATCAAACAGCTAACGCATTGTAATATTCATTTTATATTTCAATGAATATGAAATTATTCAAGTCATTTATAATTTATATAAAATGTATAAGCTGTTATCCGTTTTAAAATGTATCAAGCCGAGTACATTTGTAAGCCTATACACTTAGATATCAGATTAAAAGTAAAATAGCAAAAATACCGAACTCCAAAGAAAATTCAAAACGGAAAGTTCTTTTTCTAAAAAAGTTCATCGGAAGATACCAAGACCTTGTTGATAAATATTCTGTATCAACTTCACAAATAGTACATTATGGTCTTTAAGTATAGATTCTAGGTTCTGACGTTGTTTATCATCTTAATTACGTGTAATAGTGTTTTTATTTGTCTTTGTATATTTTTAACCTTTACTGTTTATTTACTCCATATTTAGTAATATACCTTTGGCGTGGCTTGGTATTTATACATCCTACCATTGCATTATTATGCCATGGTCATTTTTTGTATTCTTGTCTTTCATTTTTGCTTATGTACTTTGTCAATATAGTGTCTATTTATATATAAAAATAAGGAGATTAGGTACGATTGCCAATGAGACAACTATCCCCCAAAGTTCATGAAGTAGATGTAAGCATAACAGGCAACCGTACGGCCTTCAACAATGAGAACAATCCATATCGTATAGTCGGCTATAAAAGGCCCCGACATAAGATATATGAAACAATTCAATTGAGAAAACCAACGGCCAAATTTATAACAAAACAATTTACGAACAAAAAAATATGACCGACATGAACCAACGACAACCACTGAACTACAGGCATCTTACTTGAAACAGTCACACACAGAATGTGGTGGGGTTAAACAAGTTTGTGAGCCCTCAACCCTCCCTTAACCTGGGACAGCAACATAAGAACAAACTATACTGTTGAAAAAGGCTTAACTCATCAGATTGATACAAAACAGAACAAAACAAAAATACAGACCGGACGTCGCAGGGTATTTATCCATTCCTCATCACTTACAACAAAAAGGACACTAAGTACAGATCTGAGAGTACTCTCAGTTACTGACAGCTAGTGCAAAGCCAATAACAAATAATAAAAAAAAATCATGTATCTAAGACTAAAATATCAATCAGTACACATCCAACATCCAATGGATTTGGTGTAAAGACGTCATTAAAAGTAAGAGAAAAAAATGACCTTGTGCAATGCCAGAATAAAGCTAGCGACAAATCGTAGTTCCGTTAAAGTGCATATGTGTATAAGAAAACTATTTAGTATGATTTTAATTTACTGATAACAAAATCAATATTTATACCAATAAAAACAATATATGCCATTTTGTTTTTCTTTGTTGAAATAGTTATTCATTTTTATAGTGATTAAGATTATAACACAATTTGACTGCTCTACGCCAATTTTGACAATTTTACCTAGTATGTCTGTTTGTTTTGCTCACACATTGTTGTCAATATAATGGAATTCTATGCGACTGTCATACAAGTGATAGATTTAGCTAGCTATAAAACCAGGTTTAATCCACCATTTTGTACATGAGGAAATGCCTGTACCAAGATAGGAATATAGCAGTTGTTTTCCATTCGTTTGATGTGTTTTGATGATGTCCCTTGGAGTTCGGTATTTTGGTATTCAACTTTGTATCAAATGGCAAAATCAAAAGCTCAAACACATCAAACGAATGGAAAACAACTGTCATATTCCTGACTTGGTACAGGCATTTCCTTATGTTGAAAATGGTGGATTAAACCTAGTTGTATAGCTAGCTAAACCTCTCACTTGTATGACAGTCGCATAGAATTCTATAACATTGATAACATTGATTAACCATGTCATAAACGCAAGGAACTTTGATTATATAAAATAAACATGATAAATGAAACAAATATTGTTGTACAGTTGTTAAAATGTTTGTATTATGAAAATTATATAGCCGCACCATAAATCAATAAATTAGTTAACTCAGAATGGACTTTATAATACAAATGACAGCAATGTTTGAACACAATGACTACACAATTTTGTCTGCATCAATTTAAAATGCCCTCATTTCCTTTTTATATATAAAATTCTGAACAGACACAAACAAATAATACAAATGACAGCAATATTAGTACATTCTGACTACAAAAAGTTGTCTGAGTCAATTTATGTGCCAGCATTTTCCTTTTTTATTCAAAATACCGAATCATTACAAACAATCAGTAGTTAAAGTACTTTTCATATCTCAGGATGGTTTTTATAATAAAACTATTTGACAGCATCAACCAAAACTGACCATTTTTGCTCTATAATACGAAAATTATATAGCCGTTTCATACATTGTTAATATGCCCGCGATATCTATTAATGATTTTGCCGAACTTATATATAAAGGGTCCCATGGCTTTTCTTCGTGAATGTTTAGGGATTTTTTTACCTTACCCAGCGATTTCGCAGAATTTTTTTCTAAATTTTGATCAAAATAAAGATAAACCCGGTCCTAAATAACACATTTTTTAGGGGGAAAAATACTGACACGGAGCAATATCTTTAATGTTTTCCAGTAGTAAAATATATAAATGATATAATAACCAATCACAGACAACCAGCTATTTTTATCTCTATGTCATGGTCCCTTCATAAATGACTGCGCCAATGTGAGTTGATATGGTACAATATAACTTTGAAAACACTGCTTTCATATGAGAGATAACTCTATAGTCTATGATGAGTTTATTTGACAAGACGTATAACCGTTATAATATATTGTGGCAGAGTACCGATAAATAGATTTATAAATGTACAAAAAAAATAGCCTTGCTTAACTAAGACAAATAAATTCTTTGAAATGTTGAACTAGAACCATCATTACACTCATGTTATGATTGCATTCCTATGTATATGCTTCATTTGATTTTACATTTAAAAGTCTAACTTTGACTAATAAAAAAAGTGCAAAATACTTTATAACTTGTGGAATCTTTTGAATATTTGAACGTTGCACACTTAATGTTAATTTGAGTATGCGACAATGCCGCGCTACTTGTATTATTTTAGAGAGTCAAACAATGAATTGACTCTCTTAACTTCAGAAATGAAATAAGTTTATAAAAATTTCTGAAAGATTTACGATATTAAATTTTACTGAATGTAATATAATCTAACTTTACACTTAAAATATTAAAGGATCATCAGCTGTCAAGTTCGTTTACACCGGTGTGACCAAAATCGCATAATTTATTTATAAAATTTTACAACGTATATCTTAATTACATAAAGTCCAAAAGAAATAATTAGCAATGCATGGACCGTCTACAATGTAACAATATTTCGTACGTATTTTAGACCAGACACCACCAACTATCAACCGAAATGACATCCGAAGATTGCAGACGGTCATGAATACAAATGAAAATAGGCAGCAAGCACATGCGATAGGATTATTCTAAGTCTGCTGGATTTCATGTTATAGGTTAAAGATATATGTAAGTTATCGTTTTACTTTTATTAGATTAATTTTTTGTAGGCCGGATCAGTCAACAAAATGGTTATTCACGGTGGCTCCCTTGTTTCACTTTTCATTGTTGACATTCTTTTCTTTTTAATGAATGAACCACATAATGAACACATGTGCACAATCTCAACTAAAGGTAAAATCAAAATGTTGCATGAATAGGGATTTAAATGAGTTGAATGATTGACTTGCAAGTCAATAACATCTCAGCTATGTTCTTTCAAGCTTATTTTAACGAAATTGAACGACATTGACTTCTCGAAGGTGCATGTATAACTAATTTGTCAAACATTGTATATATCTTATAAGCTCTACTTGCTTTAGAAATAAAGTATTATTATTATCAAAGCGACATATTATTTCCATATTCTTTTATTATAAATGTTTGAAACGAAAAAAAAATATAATTCATTTTTTTTATTTTGTCTAATTCGTAGTTAACGCCCTTCTAATGAACTATTGCAATATTTAAACTCACCTGAAGAAAGACAGACGATAAAAATAATCAAGTTTATCAATTGACGGTCACTTTGCAAATGACTATGAATGCCACAAAACATACGAAAGTCATGTGACTATATTTCCAGGTGAGGTACAATATAGGATTATTACTTGATTTGACAAAGATTGAAAAAGTTGAGACCCATTTATAGTCCTCATGCCATATGAGATCACAAAAATACAGTGTATATAAAGTGCGGATACTAAAATACCATTTTCACTGTATATGCCATACATTTCTAATGTAGAATGATAAATAAACGGCCGAAAAATGTATGATTTTGGAATAAAATAATAAACAATATATCGAATGGACTGTTTTAATAAAATTGTGATATAGGCAAGAGATGCAGGCGGGTTTATATCGCACATACAGCAATCAAGGTGTGAAATAGTTACACAAATAAGTAAATATCAATAATATTTCACGAACAGAGCGTGCATGACATTAAAAAAGCAGCATTAAAGTTTTATTTTCAGAAAATATATACCTTTTAATTTATTCATTAATGTTGTATAACTTTAAACAGGTTTTGTTTTTCAGTTTGCTGAAATGGAGTTAGATCCGCTATGCTGCTTTCGTTATGCGATTCGTGTTTATTGTCAGATAATGATATAAGACTTCCGTTTTCACTGTAGGGATGATTAATTTCTATTGTATATGTGGTGCATTTTCACAGTAGGAATCTTTATCGTTTTCCTCAACTACCAACTAGAGTGTTAGTTCAGCCGACTCACTGACAAACTAAATAAAGTCAGAAGGATTTGATAATGCTTACTTTGTGAGTGAAAGTCTGATGAATTACAATAATAAATTCCGTAAAAATAAGAGCATTTATTGCTAAAAATATTCAAGTCTGTTTTTTTAATAGTTCATCAGGATATACATGATGGGTTAATTGTATCCATTCCATTGACATTTCATCATTGAAAACTGATACCTTGCATAGTTAAGCACATTGACGGCCACTGAAAACTATGCTTACGTTTTTGGTTTCGGTCTATATTTAGTATACTATACATCACATAATAATGAACCGTCATTAATGAATGCATCCTGGATAATAAAGAGCGTTCATACAACGACCTACATTTAACGCTTGATCATGTTGATTGACGTTTACGTTTTCATATCAGATTATGTTTAAATCTAAGGAGCTATACATCACATATCGATGAAACCTAATCAGTGCGTATATCGGACATAAAAGGAATACGCAATTTTGAAAATTACAATGACATATTGAGAACTGTTTAGTGTTACTAGTTTTAATTGTTCTATATCACTCGTATCTCCACCGTACAGTTGATTTTTGATGTTGCTGCGAAGTTGATAGATAGAATGTTTAAATTGTTTTCTTCATAGACTTATGGCCGTAACAGTAGGTATAACATGTTTAGGAACACACAGTTTTCTGCCTCCTGACATCATTGTTTTTTTTAAACAAGAACACCCATTATTAATTTAAACAACTACAAAAATCATTAAACACACGGTCACATTGAGTTTTCGAGTCAACATACCATGCTTTTATTTGAAGATAATTCGAGGTTGTGTTACACAGAAACTTGTTTTAAGGTCAAACTCCTAATTTCGTCATGTTTCGTTGTCTCTATAATAGTGTTTTTGTTTGGTACCGTTCATTGCAAATCTTTGCACTGTTTGTTGCGCATTGTGACAACTCAAAGCCAGTCAATATGTTAAAAATATGTACATAACATAATAATACTGGTTGACAATTTTTCAAAGCTTGTTTAATCAAGTACCGAAATTTTTAAAGCAAAATTCGTCGTAAAAATACGTTGCACTCATGGATTTTCTAGTCCCAAATATTTTCGAATCCCTAACACTAATAGCAAACTCAGGACGAAGTGTTGCATATCATTATGACCTTCGTGCGACCTTTACATCAAGATCAAAATACTAGATTTTTAGTGTTATTTTTGCGAAATCTCTCAGAAACTGGATTGCAATCAGGTGCTCCTGATGTGTGGGCTCCACTTGGTCCCACATTAAACATACACAAAATTCAGGTGCATTAATTTTCAATATGAAATGTTAGAAATGTCAAAAAGTTAAATCGTTACAAAAAATATAAGATGAGTATTTCAAAAGAGACAACATATTTTCTTATCGATATTTTTATCAACGAAGGGTACAGTACTGTTACAAAAACGCGCAACGAACGGTACAGTATAAACAATTTCATAAACTTATGGCTTTTTGTTTTTAGACAATCATAATAATTACAATGAACTAGGTATGTGGGGTATATTCTGGAGGAAGATACGCTCACTAACCTGCACATATATCCGATTTTATTTAAGTTATTTAATGTTTGCATTTTTGAAGCATTTGTAAGCGAGTTGTTGTTACCAAGATGAAGATTTGTAAACATACGTGCATTTATCATTTAATAAGTACAGTTCGAGTTAAAATTCGAATTCCTTAATCAATATTGAGGACTTAACATGCAGACAACGTGTATAATATATTTTTTTATACAAACTGTGTTCATAACTCATAACTCAGAATATTTTTGATATCATTTATCGGCTTCTCTCAGGTTGTCTAAATAACGCTCAAAAACGCACAACGTCCGTAATAAACTATACGGTGGTTAAACATGTACGATAAGTCTGGATTTTAAATTGTAAATATCATCAATATTTTATTGATCAAATCAGTTTTTGCATGTCCAATTATCACATTAAACCACAATGAAAATCCATCGCACCTAAAAAAAAAAAAACCCACATTACAAATGATTTCACACTCAGTGATAATGCATCGCAACAAATGTCAAACGAATCGCTTTGAATAATTTTATTCTAGTTTCTGTTGCTTTAATACTGTATGTTTTTTACTTTAATCATATAACTGTTCATTTTAATGTCATATTCTAATGAAATTGTTTTAAACAATACATTCAAATCAATTATTTTGTATTTTCGAAACGTAAACAAACACAGTTTTTCCCATCATCCTTTATTCTAAAATAGTAATACTCGCATATGATAGTGAAAATGAACTATCTGGATTCGAACTTTATATACACTCAAAATATATCGCTTGAATTTTAGTATGAATAAGCGATTTTTGTAATGGCTGAGGATTAATTATTGTTACGCAAGAAAAGCTTCAGATCATGTTCAGCTGTCACTATCTTTAATTAAAAAAAAGTATTATGTTGACACAATTGTCCGTCTTTGTGAAAATACGTTGACATTTAAAAGTTACTTATAACACACAACGCTTTTTACACACAAAAATCCCTAAATGTTAATAACAAGAGATTTATTTTTCAATTAATTTGTCATTAAGATATTAAATTTATCCTTTTTCCATTAATGTAGTTGAAAATTGTAAACTTTAAAGTTAAATAAGAAGAAGTGATGTAAACTGTTACCTATGAACATATATCACTTCCTAGATTATTAGTTTATTTCTGAAACAATGTGTCTAAACCGTTGGTCTGTCGTAGACATATAGGATGAGAGCATTTCATTATGATCAGCCATGGATTTGGGTAATTTATGACTTTGTCTTGAACAAAAATTGTTCATATGGCGTGCAAGACGATTGACATCTCTAACTGTGGCAGTTCCAAATACAATTTTTGAAATGGAACTAATTACAACTTAAGCTTTGTCTCTTTGATTCAGTATGTAGATTTTCTCTTGGAACAAGTTGGCGAATGGTATCAACAGTGTTATTTACATTAGATGATACATGTGCCCGTGCTGCAGATAGTAAGGATATCTCATGATTGAGAATATTACAATGCTATTGCACAATATCACACGAGATCTGTTGTTCACTCTTTTATTTCCTGAGAATTGGAAATGTGTGGTGTCAGAATTTTTGTGCAAAAGTGAGGCGAAAGATACCAAAGGGACATCCAAACTCATAAGTCGAAAATCAATTCTCAAAGATATAAAAAGATCATATTCCACCTGTCCTGTTTTTCGTGCAAGAACAAATCCGATGATCAGTCAGAGTCAAGGAAAAGAAAATGAGATTGTGGTTGCGACGATGTGAACAATTTTAATCCGTCGTCATCTGAGAAACATATATTCCAACCCGAGATGGCGTCCGTACAATTTTTGAAGGGATGATTTCAATTCCAGTTCTTGGAATTCTTGGTTTAAAAGCTTCTTTGTGAGCAGCAACCCTCTATCATCGAAATCCAAATGAAAATAACTCCATACTGTATGTGCTACATACTTTCTCTCGTTGTCGCAAATTGGTGAATGCAAAACAGCAAAATCCATATAAATGTGGCATAACTTAAAGCGCCAAAAGAAAACAACGTAAAAATGTAGTAGACGATGGGCAAATATGTCAATTTATAAAAAGAAAATAACCTAAGACTGGTCGAAATGAGAATGACCCCTGATTTGTTAGGAGAACAAAACAAAAATATTGACCCATGACTGGTCGAGATAAAAACAACCAGGGATTAGTTAAAATGACCATAACCCATGACTGGTCCATATATACCGGTTAGGTATATTAAAAATATTCTAAAATTAATTGACCTGTGATTGGTCGAATTTACAGTAGTCAATATGTTATAGACATGAAAATGACCGATGACCGGTCGATTTATACTGATTCATTATAGGCTCGATATTTTAAGACAGAACAATAAGGACTTTAAGCTTCATAAAAAAGGGTATTATATTAAAAAATGACAATTCTAACATTGATTGATTGAAAGAACAACAACAAAAAGCATTTCAACTTATAAAATATGTCTCAGTATGATTTGACTGTGTTGTAAAATAGAGTTTGTATTATTTAATGTAAACGTAAGATGCAAATTTTGATAGACACGTTTTATGACTATTGAAATAGTGAATTATCGACTGGACATTTATATCCTGTGGCTGTTTGTGTCCTGGTGGAATCAACGTGTCTGGCGAGGCCAGAAGGAATATGCTCTTTTGGTTCCATTTTTTTCTGTATTACCAGTCCATTTTATCAGAAATTATGATTATTCATTGGTTTGTCTGACCAAAGAATGCTACTGATCTCATACAGTTGTTGTGACCATTGTCTTATAATGCATTATATAGAGCATC